TTGGGTGAAGGCCCACCGACAACGGGACAAGTATTTAAGACGACGAAACTTCCAGGCTAAATTAAACTATCATAGCGAAAGCCACCGTGACCTTGAACAAGCAATCAGACAGATTTCTGATTCATGAAGTCGCATGAACTGTTAAAAAATGCATTAGAAAACATTGTAAGCAAAATATTACAGGGTATACTTGTCGTGAGAGAATGTGTTTTGAGAATGTGTTCCAATGACTACAACCCGGTAGGTGACTGTTAATCATAGTGCTCTGCGATCCATTGATATTTCTGACACTGTCGCTCAACCTACCCGTGACTCTGACCGTAATCCAAATCCCCCAATTCTAACTGTAATCCTAGACCCTATCCTTAATCTTAAAATCCAAATCTCTATCTAATAGTATACCGAGAAACTACCTAGGGAATGTGTTGGGAGAATATCAGTTAGAGAACCCCATTGAAACTGGTATCAATCTGTGATCGACTCGTAAAAACAAATCTAATCCTTACAAAGCAACTTTTGAAAAATAAGTATCTACTGTCACCTAATCAAAAAAGTTAGGCATGAGTCTACTTGGAATGATTTTTTCAATAGCATTTCTTAAGTCTGATCAGGTTTTGAAGGTGAACTTTTGCCCTACCCTGACTTCTAGGCTATGATGCGGTAACTTCGCCAATTTCCATACTTTGCTCAGACAGATTTTTCGAAAAATGAGCACTTTGAAACATTCCACCAACAACCTAAACAATCAGGAATTGAGATATGAGATATTGATTAGATGAGAGCGGGGTTGATTGAAGACCGAAATGATGAATAAGCGTGATATGTATATGGTAGTCTTCACGTTCCACTGAGTGGTTATTTGTTGAGTATAATTCGGGTTACACTTGGATGTGTTATCGACTGCTATGAAGATGGCTGGTAGTCTGACTGCAGTTTCACTATGATTATAGCGGTGTGGATTGTGTGTCTCGTTGTGGTAGTGCTTAAGCTTTATTGATTATTATACTCCACCAATATATGTGATTGTATTGGATGGAATTGGAATATGTGACGTTGTGGTCGACCAATTTCACAAAGAAATGTTTCCTAGATGCACGTGGCAACATTTTGCGGCTATCAATGTGTAGGGAGAGGCTGGGGATTATGCTATCGCCTGTAAGAAGCAGTTCAGAAGCTACAAGTCAGAAGTAGAACCACCGTGGTGACAGCAGGAGTGAATCTGCTTTACTGCACCATCTGTCGAAATGTTGAATTGTATTGGTTCTATTGATAATTTTCACTTAGTGGGTAGTTATTGGCACAGTCGACTTATTCCTTCCTCCATGATCCTGATTTAATGCTTTTTTGTCTTTCACATTGTATCATATTAATCTGTGTGTGTGTGTGTGTGTATCATATAATTCTCTCTCTCTCTCCTTGTTTGTGTGTGTGTACGTGACTTTCCCTGGTTACGTCTATTGGAACTTTTATAGAATTCACTGGATTGTTGGTATTGTTTGCTATCCTTGGATGGTGGGAATGCCCAAGGATGTGCATGCGGATGAAGTTGTTGGCCAGTGCCCATTGATGGAAGAATTTTCTGACGTCGAATATATTAAATTTCCTCAAAGTTTAGATTTATCAACTCTTTATGAAGAATCTGTTCACAGAATTCCTATAGATGTTCAAGTAAATATTGTAGTAAAATTTTCATTATTATTAATATTGTTATTACTATTATGAATAATATAAGTAGTATATGAAGTGCTGATGTTGTTTTGTAACGGTAGGAGACAACAGACTTAGGTAACGGAATGTTTGTTTGCAATTTGATTTTCTCTTTATAGGAAAATTATGTACGCCTCGCATACATCAATTGAAATGGTGACTCCTTTGTTGTTTCTTAGGTAGTAAGTCGCACGATGTGCTAGTAGAATGAATCGATGGAAGCTCTATCTGACAGTTAACCCCCTTCGAGGCCAGCGACTCCTTTAGTGTACGGTTATTTCTCTCTGTCAGACCATTCGTTTGCTGATATGATATGATATGATATTGTTGTGATCTTCTTGACACCTGGCTGTTGCAAACAGGAAGTGAATTGTTCGCTCGCAAAATAAAGACCTTGATTTGTCAGTGAGTGAGTATCGACCTTGGGTACACCGTGGTCTGCAACGATGAGTTGTACTGCTGTATCAGTGACAGTTCTCCTGCACTGATCGTGAGTAAATTTTGCCAATTGAAAGTGATGTATATGATGATGGTAATGGACAGGGGTGTGTATCTGCACGGATTTTAGTTAGTGCGCCTACATGAATGTTTCGAGCAGGGCTTTTACAAAGCAACCAACCTATCAGCTAACATTTAGGTGTTTGTTTGCTAGGATCTGATTGGTTATAGGACTTCATCTTGACCTGACATCGGTTAGAGAAGCATTGGAAAAGTAGCTGGGAGTACTGGACAGCTGTTTTGTCCTAGTTGGGGACTCTTCAGTGTTCGAACCCAGGAGCTTTCGGTTACGAGGTGAGCTCATTGGCAACTCGCCCTGTTCAAGGTTGGCAGTTACGTGGGTGGGTTGTAATTTTAAGTGTTGACCAATGAGTTAGTAAAGTAGGTTGGGGGTGTGAGGACTAATACTCGCCACCGATGACATTCGATAGTGCCAACAGCGCTATATCGTTGGTGAATTGGCAAAAGTTGGAATTCATGGACTGGTCAGTTGCTTAATAGTGAACTAGCTTGCTAGCTTTGTAGGCGGAATGTCCTGAGTTCGAAGCCTAGTGGGCGATGAGTGCCAAACTGTCTGGCACTTCTCCCAGGCGGTTTCCCAATGGTTCTCTAGCCTATTTCAGCTCATAATGAAATCCTGTAGTCAGTGAAATCAGATTATTCCTGTAGACCAACACTTGAATAATAATAATAATAATGATAATAGTGATGTATATTTTCCGAGATGCATGTGAATTATGACTATTTCAATGATTTAGTATTGATTATTTCGGTAAACTGATTAACATGAGTGTGCTGGCTGGCTGGTTAGGTGGTGTATAGTGTATGGTTTGTTTGTATTTATTGTTTTACAGCGTGAAGCATTTAATCGTTGGAGACGAAGACGTTTAGCCTGGCTCCGGAAGAATGGTTACAATCCGAAGTACGTGATTTGTCTTCTTATGTTGTCTGTACCTGTTCATTTTGTAGAGAAGTGACAAATCAATCTGTTCTATTGTTGAACACAGTCATGACAAATTCTGATTTTCTTTTACTTTAAAACATGAAAATAATTGAATGTGTGTGTGTGTGTGCATGTGTGATAATGCATTTATTTATTTATTTATGTATTTATTTATTTATTTATTTATTTATTCATTCATTCATTCAAGAGAATTCTGTCTATCTGAGGTGATTTGCGTGTTGAGTGAAGTAATTGTTGGTAATAGATGGTTGGAGACAATCGTCAGGAAGCCTTGCCTTGACATTGTGCTTGTTGCTCCACCTAGACCTAGCTCTGGCTCCTTTCTAACCAGATCCATCCTATGTCAGTGGCTAACATTTCCCGTCAGTCGAGGAGGGAGGTGACTTAACAGCCATGCGTAACAACATGTCCTGACCACCTCAATCGAATTACCTTCACAACCTTGTTGATTGGTATTCCCTGCTCACGGAGCACTCGACCGATGCCTCACCTCAATGTTAGTCACCTTATTACACCTCCCACCTAACACAGGATGTAGATAGAACACAGACACATATGATGAAAGATGGCTAGCCAGCAGGCTTGGCTTTTGATTTCTTCAACTTTCGATGGCCATGTATGACGGCCATCTATTAAGGAGGACGTAGGGAAGTGCTGTTGGTGCCGCTGTGCTATACCCTCGTGCTTTGGTCGACAGCCAGCCGGATATCATGTTTACGCCAGAGATGGTGTAGGTTGGCGTTTGCCAATCGAGCCTGCTACCCGGCTACACAAACCATGGAATTTCTCTTTTTCCGGGTACCTGAAAGAGAAGGAATGGGTGTTACTTGAGCAAAGAGCCCAGGGGGACAACTTTTTGTAGCCGGTCACTCACGGCCTGTGTGAACCGGTGTTTTGTTTTGACTGAGTATTTGTCACATGTCGCCGACTCCGGACCACTGTAGGGTAAATTGGGTTGTAGGATTTTTGTGGTGGGCTTTTCTAACCCTTTCTCTCTGTCACTCTCGCTAGCTGGTCTGCTGGTCATCTGAGGGAATCACCATACTGCTGTAACATTGCTATCCGCCAGCTACAAGACTTTGTCTACAGGCCGCCAACAAAGTGTAGAAAATCTTACACCATGAGGCTAACTGCTTTGCGTCTAATCACTATGCTAATCACTATTCTTCCTGGCCTGGTAGAAGCTGCAGGAACATTACTTCCAGCCAATGTAACTTGTTGTGTCATTGCGATATGCAGGTCGGACCAGCACGTCAAAGTAGCAGTTATGGGTTGGGAGTTTGCTGCAGTCAGATATGTTACTACTGAGCTATTCAGCCTGATGGACGAGTGAGTGGCTACTAGCACGAAATCTGGGTGGAAGGCTTGTTGGCGATTGCCATCAATAGTCTAATATATCAATAGTTCAAGTGCATTGTGACGTCGGGCCACCTAGAATTCAGTCTGCACCATCACAAAGAGCTAGACTAATAATACAGTCTACTAACTAGAGTCGAATCAAAGTGTTGATTGAGTTGCGTTTGTGGTGGTGGTAGTTGTTCAATAATGTGACCGGTTTCCAGTGCCTGTTATATGTAGGTGGCTGTTGTCATATGGGCATTTATCAAGGTAAGGAACGTATGCCAGCTAACCTGTAAGAGATGTGGGTGGTTACACTCTACTTGAGAAGGTTGTTAAGCGCTATTGTTTCTTATCAATCATTTGATGATGTGTCCTTCTGAGTTAACTAATTATGTGATAGAGACAATTAATTGTCATGCATGCATGGAGTTTCTTGTCTTCATTTTATTTATTTATTCATCTATTTATCTACTTACTTCGTTTCACACAGGCCTTGTCTTCTAATATTTGACTCGCTTCCTACTGTATCTAGAGTTCCTATTGCGCGTGTTCTTTACAAGTAAGATATTTCTTTTTTGTTATTCATGCATATTTGTTTGTGACTTAATTAATTAATTAATTATGGTGTCTGACGATGATCAACAATTAGTTCAATATGATGATTGTGTGTGATTGTATGTTGCATGCAACAAAGACATTTGCACTGGCTGAGATCAATCACATTTCTAATGGCTTAGCTGTACAGCAGCACTTCACTGATGATAACTACTATTCTATGCCTAGCCTTCATCTTTTTTTATCTTTTCAAGAACTGTTGTATGTCGAGGTTACAAATGGGGCTGTAGACGTTGAATGGTGTGTGTCGATGAAAATTGTTGTTCTGTAATGGTGGGCAGTGTAGGGAATGTGAGCCAATGGGGAAATCGTATTGGGAGTGTGTGTGTGTGTGTGTGTGTGTATAGTTGCAGGCAAATGAATCGACGGTGGTGTGATCTTGTCCCTTTTCTCGTTCTGTTGACTGACTATTTGGCTCTGTGTAGAAATAGTTTCAAACGAGTGAAGAAGAAAGATTGTCTGACTGAGCCACACCGTCAACAACATGAAACCTACAAATGAATGGGATGGACAACTTTCACTAAGATATCGTTTCCATTGGAGGAAGTGCGTAGAGATTTTCAACCGTGATTAATCTGTGCACTTGTATAGGTATGAGCGGAGGTGGAATTATCTTGACAGTACATGGAATCTATTGTATGACTGGTAGTGGTGAAGATAGCTAATAATTTATGTCCGGTGAAAAGTTTAGTAAAATTCAATGTGGGTTAATTCAGCTCAGCCTCAGAGGAAAGTAAACTGATGCAAGGTAAGTGATACGGATGAGGCCGATGAACCTGACAGGAAACAACGTCTTCTTAAATACGAAGCACCTCGAATTGTTTGTAAAGACTTTAAAGAGAGGTAGTGGACAAAAGAAGACAAGCCATGGAATGGGGAAGCACGGTAGGTAAAAGAAGTTAGTTGGTTAGTTAGTTATTGGTAGATAGTTGAGGGCTTTTGGGAGGAGGTTTAGTGATTTTTCATAGTTATCATTCAGTCGTCAAAGTTTACATATTAAGTCTTGAAGGAAGTCATGTCCGCTGTGTGGTTATAGCCCGGGTGACCGAGCGGCGCAATGAGTGACGCTACCACTGAGCTATTCGGGCTACATTTACTGCTCTATAAAGTCACAAATGTGGAGAGATGAAGTTCGAAGGAGCTACAGTACGATGAACAAAATGCGTTGGTGAAATAATAATAATAATTACTTGAGGAATAATGGGGTCTGATGGATGTGGGTATGTGGGATACAAAATAGTGTGAAGTGACCTGTGACATTGAGTACGACATGTGTTGAACAGACAAATAGTCGAAGGTTTAATTTATTGATAAGATGTTATGATTTCTGCACAGACTCAACTCTTTTGCATCGTAATCTATTTCATGTGATGTGAGATAAGATTGCTTGTCGATGAAGGGGAAGGCGATGGATGAGTCGGTGAGCTGAGTACATCTAGTTATGTAAATGTTTGCAAAATCACAATCACCTCGCCTTATCTGCTGATATTTCTTCCTTGACCACGCGGGTGCTAACCTTGGTGTTAGTGAAGATATTATACCACCTGACACGAGTGGTTAGCGCCATACACCTATGGTCAAGCAGAGTTATACTGTTCGAGTCTTCCATTTTCAGAGGTTGTTATGTCTTACCAGATTGATAGAGAAGTAGTAAGTAGGGAACGAATTGTTTGCAGTACTCATTCCTTCACCTACAGTCAGTGTGATATGGCGGCGTGTACTCGAGATGTTCGTTGAAGAATGGTAGATGAGATTTCATCATGAATCAGTTGATTGATTGATTGATCAATGCTCCTCTAATGCATGCAACTATTCACCCTTTATTGATTCCAGCTATCTACAAGTGGAATGGGATACGAGGAGATCAGAAGTAGACGGTGTCCTCCGTTTCAATAGCGATACTCTCCCTATGCATACTCCATTTTTGCCTACTCAAAATAACGGTGTGGATTGTGGAGTTTTTATGCTTCACTATGTGGAAAAGTTTTTCCAGGTAAATTGTTGCTTCTCTTTTCTAATTCTACCTTACTATTATTTCGCTGCTATTAGCTTCTGTGCATTGCAGTTATTGTCATTGACTGTTATCATCATGATATTATTGTTGTTGAAATGGGTTTTTGTTTAATTGTTATTTATGAAAGTGTCAAGTGCCTTCCTTGCCTTATATAATAAATGGTTTTATCACTTTTTGTGCAGAATACTTGTTTGTTGTTACATAGTATAGTTAGTATTCAGACTGTTGAATAAAATTATTCCGATTTATTCCGATTTAAAAAGCAGCATTAGAAGAAGTGGAGATTATTTTTGTATTTTAAGATACGAACGGATAGTTTGGAGCTGAAATCAGTTAGAGGAGCCATTGGAGAGCCAAGAGGAGGGATTACTGCCAGACAGCTGTTTCGTCAGCCTAGTTTTGGACTCTTCATCGGTACGCACGCACCCACCCCATTGCCAATGCTCGAACCCAGGTGCTTCTGGTTACAAGGCGATCTAGATCGTAGACCATTCATTCAACAACCACTGGTATCCGATCCAATGGCTAGCTCAGGAATTCTCACTTCTTGCAATTGATGACATAGTGCGATCACTTGGCAATGTCTTCTTCGATGAGTTAGTTACTGCCTCACCTTGAACCTGCTGTATTGTATCCTGCTGGTCATGGCTTCTCACTAGAACTGTCTGAAAATCCCTACAACACCAATAGTTGAAAATATGAATGAATGAATGAATGAATGACGTGAACCGCATTGATTCCGTCGTGGATGGATGGATGGATGGATGAATGATGAATACGCGCGCATCAGTGATAGTCTGTAGTGGTAATAGTTGTCATTTTTCATTGTCATTCATTTCATATACATGGAGACACCTATTGTACAAATATTGGGATAATTTGCCTGCCTACTATTATCATGTTCTAGCTAGACAGCCAGCCAGCTAGCCAGCCAACCAGCTAGCATTCCCACTTCACCCAACTGATGAAATATGTGCAAGAAGACAGACAATTCAAAATGGCATTGTGTCATGCCTGCCTGACATGTTGTAAATCCACCAGTTATTTAATTAATTAATTAATTTATTTATTCATTGAATTTCGTACTTGCTGATTAGTACTTTGAATAACTAACTAACTGACTGATGCATTTCTTTTAGAAACCAATCGAAAGTTATACAAGGCAGTATTTTGCCTCGAAGCTGAAGGATTGGTTTCCGGAATCAGATATTCCAGCGAAACGACTCTTTATCCGCGATCTGATCTTTACGTGCGCATCGAGATGATAGTCTTTTCAGTAAAGATGTTATCATCATTCTAATTTTAATAAGAGGTAGGTGTAACACCACAGACTGCTGCTGTTTTTCTGTTCACTTAGTGTTAATATTTTTTCACATGTAGATGAAAATGTGAGTGTTGTTGATGTGACTAGTAGACTTTCTACTCTGTCTATGTCTATGTGGACTGCATTCAACATAGAAGTTTGCACCGATGTACAGCAGCAGCAGTTCGAGTCGCCACACCTCACTCAGCCAGAGAATAAAGTGAAAAGAAACGCAAAATAGAGACAGTAATGAGAGATGTGGGGCAAAACGAATACTAATGTCAAAGACTAACATAGTTTTATTGTAAATTCTAAATCACAAGGAGTGGATGCATCTGCGCCAGCCATTGAGAACAGTTTTCAGCCATATCACCAAATGTGTTCAGCCATTGGTTTCTACCGTCCCGAGGACTGCAACCAGGAAGTCTACACCTTCCTACGTGGCTTAAACTGACTCTTGTGTCTATGTAACTGATTAACTGACTTAAGATCACAAGGCTGCAGTAGTTATTAACTGATGATGCTGGTAGTAGCTACAAGTGGAATAAAGAAAAAAATGAAACGTGAGAACAACCATGAATCGGTTATCAAGAAGAAAGCAGGCAGATTCAGTTGGAGAAACCACATTATATTATTATTATTATTATTCGTGTTGGATTCTGAGGAGAACATGGGTCATTGACAGCACATCTCGATTTCATCCTGTTTTCTGCGGTCCCCAATATCTGGCTCATAAGCCTTCATCTCCTCACAACACGGTCTTCTCCATGTCAGCCTCGGTCCTACGCATAACTCGTCGTCTCTTATATGGGTTCAACCCGCGTATCTGGATGGCTCATATGCCTTTCTCAAATGTGTGCAGAGTGCGCCTGATCCGCCCCGTCAGGTTAATAGCTTCTTGAATGGTTCTTCTGCAGAGTTCTTTGTTGTTTGTCCATCCATTGTGGCCGGTCCTGTGATCTAACTAAGTTGTATTTGGTGTCCGGTGTTTTCTCATTTTCAACGACCCTTTAATTGATGCACGTTTCTGACAAAATCTACCTGAAAATTGTTTTCTATAGTATTTTGAGATTGGTTGGTTTTGTTTCTCTTATACATTCTTATCCTCGATCAATTACTTCATTGCTGGAAAATATGATCCAGTAGGGCGACAAGGGACTTCCTGTGATATCCTATTGGCAAGCGAGTTGAATCTTAAATTACACAAAAAGCGATCAAACTCATATCACACTGTCTGAAAATGACTAACCCTATCGCTGCTATATTAGTAATAATAATAATAATAATAACTTATTATTTATTTTATAAACAGTTAGTTTCTGCTGCATTTCTGTTCTTATTTTTTGTTAATTTGTTTCTCTATTTTTCTTTGTGTTAGTAGGGTGAACTCAGTTTGCGCAGATTTTGCGGACATTTTTGTGTATTTGATTTCGCCTCTACTCACTGATGATAACTGACTGACCAGAGTTGTCCGATCACCACCATCACCGCTTGACTAACCCATTCATGATCTCATGATGATGATGATGATGATGTGTTTGGTTTAGTGTCGTGTCGTGTCGTGTCGTGTTGTGTTGTGCCAAGTTGTGTGATGTGATGTGGTGTGAAGTGATGTGATATGATCTGAACACTATTTTTTGTACTGCAGATATTGTCAATAATGGTCTTATTACTGTAACTATTGCCATGAATAAGATTTGCTTGCAAATGCCTTTTGTAAATCTTGAATGCATTTTTTCTGACTGTCGAAACATCTCAACAAGAAGAAGAACCACAAGAACAACACTTTTGGATATAAGAATGACTTGTTTTCTTTCCTTTTCTCAAACGGGTGGGTGGAGATTATACAAATTGAATAGAATTGAGGCACATGAAGTATATGCCATATTAGGAGAATAAGGAGGAGAGAATCCTCCTCTCACAAGTGAGTAGTTATTTCTCGAGAAGAACGAAAATATCTTTTTCGTGATTCATTTGATAACATGATTGTGTCTCTATTGCATACTTGTCTCACGAGGTCTCCTGATGCTGCACGAATGTTCACAACACGATTACCACAGCTCTCCTCTATGAAATATGTGCAAGGGAATAGGGGAAACTATGAATTAGTTTGCCATGACTGTCTGTTTGTCTCTTTCTTGGTTCGTTTGTTTGTCTCTTTCTTCGTTTGTTTGTTTGTTTGTTTGTTTCAGTGGAGAGTACATGAGTGATTAGTGAGAAGAAGACGAGACTGTTAGAAGAAATAGGTTGTGATATGGTGGACTACACTAGCCACTTGCTGTTCTATGGTAGTGGCAGTTTCAATCAGAGACTAAATCTGACTGACTGACTGGTGAAAGGACATAGAGGTTTTTTCTGTATGTGTAATTTGATCAAGAGACGTGGTGTGGTCAGGTCGGAATATCTCCAGCCAATAGGTGAGTGCAGTGCGTTATAAACAGTTAATAACTCCAGTGACAAGGTAGATGGACATAGTGAATCTCATTTAATATTTGTACTCATCACTGACTGACTAATTGGTTCGCTTATGAGAGTTGCCTTACCGTGTGTGTGTGTGTGTGGAAGGAAGATTGTTGGCACAATGTACTCAGAGTCAGAGTGGAGGTGGTTTGGAAAGTCAGTTAGTCAGAGACAGGGAGAGACAGACAGAGACAGATACAGATAGACAGAGAGAGAGAGAGAGAGTGACAGGCAGGCAGACAGACAGGCGGAAAAGTCTGAGTGATGAGTGTTGTTGACTGTTTTCGTTGCAATTTCTTCTAATTGAAGTGTATGTATGAGGAGGATATATGTGCTGCTGATGTTGTCGTGGTGACATTTTCCTCCCACTGAGTGAGTTGTGATATAGTCAGTGGGCATACACATCACTCATCTATACTTATCATGCATAGACTATTGAGATTATACTCCTACATTTACAGGAATTAATCATCACCATCATCATGATCGTGATCGTGACCGTCGTTGAAGGAATAAAGGAATACACTGTTGCAGACATTTGTGCACCTACGTTACAATCAGTCTCTCTCTCTCTCTCAACAGTATCCATCTTTGTTTCTTGTGAAGTACACAGAGTGAGCGAGAGCGCGCGCGAGAAAGAGATAGACAGAGAGGTGTAGATAAGAAGTATAGGGTTGGCTGACACATCTGGACTAGTCTATTGTTGCTTCGACTCCCCAAGTGTGTTGAGCTGAAAAACGGCAACAGTCTATTGCTATATATAGTATCTTCAGTAGACAGAAGATTGTTCCGTTTCTCGATTAAATCACACATTGGTGGTATGGAATTTCTGTTGACAGTTGACTTTTGAAATATTGGATATTGAAAGGAGCGGCAGTAGTTAAGCGTGTGGTGAATAAATGCATCGGTTGCCGAATCAGGTCTGCAAAACCTACTGAACAAGTGATGGCAGAATTACCCATAGCAAGGGTCACGTCAGATTTTCCATTCTCTAGCACCGGGGTAGATTACTTCGGCCCCTTTATCGTTAGGCGGGGGCGGACTACAGACAAAAGATATGGATGCATATTCACTTGTTTGAAAACTCGAGCGGTTCACTTAGAAGTAGCTTACGCTCTTTCTATCGATTCATTCCTAATGATGCTTTCAGGCTTTACCAACCGCAGGGGGACTCCAAGGGAGATATACAGTGACCGGGGTACAAACTTTGTGGGGGCTGATCGTGAGTTACAGCACAGCAAGTTGTGCCACAATTAGACAGTGATTGTATGATGAGAGCTATGACAAATCGTGGTATAGAATGGAAGTTAAATCCACCTTATGCTAGCCACCGTGGCGGAGTATGGGAGAGGTTGATCGGAAGCGTACGTCGAGTGTTAAGCGCAGTCTCGAAGGAGCAAGTCCTCACAGATGAATCACTCATGACCTATTTGACAGAAGTAGAAAGGATACTAAATAGCAGGCCGCTAGTACCTGTTTATGATGACTGAAGTCAGTTGGATGTGCTGACACCAAATCATATTCTCTTATCAAGAAATCCTGAACAGGTTCCTGAAATCGACGCTAGTTTATGTGGACGTTACTCACGACGATGGAAACAAGGGCAACTCCTTGCCGATACGTTTTGGAGACGGTGGAAGCGGGAGTACTTGACGACCTTACAATCGCGTGCAAAGTAGTGGGTTCAACGACATCGAAACTTACAAGTGGGAGACCTAGTACTAGTGACTGCGGAGCCTTCACCTCGCAATCGTTGGTCAATGGGAATAATTACAGGTGTTACGGCAAGCTGTGATGGCTGGGTATATCAGAAAAGTGGATATCAAGACACCGAGGGGTATAGTCAACCTAGATGTGCGTAAGGTTTGCCTATTAGATATTGAGGTATTGAGGAGAGATGAGCACTTTGTAGGATATATAGCTGGATAGTGGATGCAGATGTGGTGAGAGTACCATTTGCACCATTTCTGTGTCTTACTAGCAGGTAGAGTAGGGAAAACCAGGCTGGTTTTGAGGGGACGGTGTTAATTCCTTTCCTACCTGTTCATTCTCAATCTTTCCTTTGTTCAACATTATACTACTTGCCATTAGTAAGTAGTATGATTTAATATGTTAATTTATATCAATGACATTTGCCTACAACTGCAGTTAAATTACTTGTTCTATTATCATTCTATTAATATATAGTTGTTATTTTTCTTCTCCTGAAACATTATTTGCTGACCTTGCCCTACAGTGTATGCTTTCCTATTGGAAGTTGTTTGTTCATATTTGTTTATTCTTTGCTTGGCATTCGCGGGCCGTTTGAACCGACACGTCGATCGACCTTGACACAGCATTGCTGTTTTTACTTATTGACTGCACAGTGGTTGTGCATTTGACGGCATTTAGCCACAGACACCTCACATTTTGAGGTTTGTATATTATATATCTAATTTTATGTAATAAAATACCGTATTGCAGAATATCCGGTATTTCGGACTTTACACGTCACTCTACGTGTGGTTAAATCTATAGTTTGGATTATCGTTTCGGATTTCTTTCGGGAG